TTAATTATATGTATGTATAGAAACCCCTTAATTTCCTGTATCACAAACATCATAGCAAAATTAAAAAGCAAGTAGCTATGAAATACATGCTACATTTTTGGTGGGCAAAGTTAAATGTTTTTGCCATTTACAAAATTTATTAATTGGCAAATTTAAAAAAATGAAAGGGAAGAAGGAGAGAGGGAGGAATGGGCATGTCAACAGAAAAAAAGGAGGAAAAGCATAAATATAAGATTTAGGGTATAGGAATCCCCCAAGCAGTACTCATCAGCCTATCTGCACGAGCCTGGGGGTTAGTACTTATGGATGACTGACAGCCTCTAGAGTTTTACCCTACAGTGTTGGGCAGGCAGGCACGTGATACAGGGCATCGAACTCTGGGCCTTGCAGCTACTAGGTGTGTGCTCCAGCCCTTTGAGCTATCGCCCAATGATACAGGATTTTAGAAGAGGGGTCTCCAAGAAATGTGTGGGTTTCCTGAACTAGAGGTTCAATGCAAAGGTTTAAGGGGGCAATGCTGCTTGGGCTTTGTGGTGCTGGGGTGACTTGGACCATTTCTGCCATGCTGAGAGGCCGCCAGGGCTGTGCCCAGAATGCTCAGAGGACCATGTAATGCCATAATTTAATCCAGGTTGCATGCCCCTTAACCTCTGTCTCCAGTAACACAGGGGAAAAAATTCAATGCAACTGCCACTCTAAATTATAAAAACAAAATATATTATTTTTGTTTATGAAATGGGCAAGGATAAAAAAAGGAATAAATTAGCCAATGTTACAAATTAAAGAGAAACAAGGTGTTCAGTTACACAGCTGTTTAAGAGGTAAATTGAATGTTCTTGCAGAAGATGGCATTTGATTGACAATCACCTGAAAGAAGCCATCATGTGGCTCCAAAACATAGTATGAAGATAATACCCAGAGATGATAGAAACAGGGCCAGGAGGGTTGGTTCATAGGAGGAAGCTTGCCACAGAGGGAAGGGGACTGCAGTAAAGACAGAGAAGGGGTCACTATGGCAAATGACAGTTGAAAAAGGTGATTCTGGGCAAGAACTGAGCGTTTAAAGGAGGTGAAATTGAAATGCATGATACCTTTTCAGTAACACTATTGCAAACCACAGTACCTAAAAGGAGAAAACGGGAGAAGGGGAGAGAGAGGAGAGGGGAGAAGGAGATCGAGGGGAGGTAGGGGGAAAGAAAGAGAAAGGAGAAATGTCTACCATAGAGGCGAGGTGAGGGAAGGGCTGCATAAGGGAACTGGGGACATTGGTGGTGGGAAATGTACACTGGTGAAGGAACAGGTGTTGGAACATTGACTGAATGACTGAAACCCAATCATGAACAACTTTGTAAGTGCGTATCTCATTGATTCAAATTTTTAAAAAGTAAAAAATAATACCATTATGATACCTAAAAAAATTAACAATTTCTGAATATTAAATGTTTTTATTTATGTTAATGTCTATTTATTTATCTATTTTTAAGTCAGCGATAGCACAGCGGGTAGGGCGTTTGCCTTGCACATGGCTGACCCAGGTTAGATTCCTCCGTCCCTCTCGGAGACACCAGCAAGCTACCAAGAATATCCCGCCCACATGGTAGAGCCTGGCAAGCTCCCCGTGGCATATTTGATATGCCAAAAACAGTAACAACAAGTCTTACAATGGAGACGTTACTGGTGCCTGCTTGAGCAACTCGATGAACAACGGGAGGACAGAAAAAAAAATACATAGATAAATAAAATAAATAACCAGCCATCAAGGGCCAGAGCAATAGTACAGTGTAAGATACTTGCCTTTTGCATGTGACCAACTGGTTTAATCCCTGGTACTGCATATGCCTGCCTGCACCAAATCCTGCCAGAGTGAACCCTGAGTGCAAAGCCCAGAGCATCTCTGGCTCTGGCCCAAAACAACCAAGGAAAAAATTAAAAATAAGCCTTAAATCCTTGCACTCCTTTAAGATGGAAACTTTATAGCCAGCGTGTACCCTTCAAGATATGATCTTCTGTGCCATGGGATCCCAACGTCCTTGGCTCAATCTCTGGGTGTTAAGGAGACGACACAAAACTGTACTCAGCCACCAGGAACAGATTTATTTGAAATCCAGCTGCTGCCGGTGGCATAAGCTGGCACCTCCCTGATGTGGCGGTGAAAACCACCTCGAGTTCCGGGCACTCAGGTTTACTATCCAAACAGCCTGTAGATCTTACCCCTCACAGGAGTCTAAGACTGTGCAAAGGCCCATAATGGGGCCCAAACACCTCATCCCAGCATCTGTACACCCCGCTTTTCCCCCGCCTCCCTCCCCACAGCTCCCTCTGCCAGTGTGCTGGGGTGACCGGGCCCTCAGCACCTCCCTGCTGGCCAGTGTGGCTGCCAATACATCTGCGCCAAGAGCACTGGCCAGGGTATTCTGAGGACACTCTCTGCTCTGCACTCCCAGTCACCCGCCTCTGCCCGGAAGGTCTCCTGGTCATGGCTTCCAACTCTCAGACCCAGCCCTGGGTGTCCCTCCACATGCATCCCTGCAACATTCATGTGTGTGTGTGTGTGTGTGTGTGTGTGTGTGTGTGTGTGTGTATCTGTAGGCTAACCACAACTTAGTGACCTGCTCTCACAGCACAGGCATGGCCTTCTTAATGCTGACCACATCCCTGTTCTGTTCCCCTTCCCACTTCTGGGCAATAGCACGAACAGCAATTATTTATAGAAGTTAAACCAGGGAGTGGAATCTAATTTCCAGAAAAAAGCAATTTGCTCCTAAGTCACGGAATAGAGGGTGAGGCTGGAGAGATAGTAGAGTGGGTAAGGCACTTGCCTTCCATGTGGCCATTCTGGGTCCAATCCCCGCATGTCCCCAGGGCATGGCCAAGAGTGATCCTTGAGCACAGAGGCAGAAATGAGCTCGAAGCGTCTCTGGGTGTGGCCCCCAAACTATACATATTATAAAACATATATATGAATATTGACTAAAAGGACACACAGAAGGCGATACAGAGCCATTAAACCGAAAAAAAAAAAAAAGAGAGACACAGAAGGAGATACGAAGCCTTTAACCAAACTTGGATCCTCCTACATGTGGGCAGAGAAGAAACACTCAAGAAAGCAGTTCTTCAGATAAGTAACAGCAGCTGTACAAGATCTTCTAGAGCCTTCCCTCAAGCCTGACTTCTTTGGGGTTCTCTTATTTCAAATCTCAATGTTATCACTACTACTGAACTCAAGGGAAATTAAAAGTCTGGTACGCATATCAGGAAATGTAGAAAACATCACTCACATTGTCCTCAAATTGTACAAGTACTCCATGACTAGAACACAGACAGAGAGGTCACAGTCATGCCACCTGGGTTTAACATAGGTTATGGTGGTTCAGGAGGCTAAAGACAGCAGAAGGGGTTGGCGACTGGCTCTTGTTTTAAAGAAATGAAGTTCCTGGTTGCTCCAGGCTAGTGGCATGGGAGGCCTTTCTGTAACGGGTGCCATTTTACCTACCTGGTGGTGTGGGTTAGGATGCTGGGAGCTGTCTGGAAATTCCCACCCATGGGCAAGGGGCAGCACTGAAGCTTTGAGGAGATCTCAGACTCCCTGTAGGCACCTGCTCAGATTTTCTCTTTCACTTGAGTAGTCAGAGTAACCAGAAACACCGTGGCCAACTTCCTTCCCAGCTGGCTCGTCCCTCGCACAGGAAGCCTCCCCGGTGACCTGCTCAGCTTGCCCTACTTATCACAAAAGCATAGAATGAACCCAGGCCCACCCACTTCACCTGCACAAATCTTAGCCTTATAAGCCATCTGTCGGTATGCCATGTACAACTGTAGCATAAAGGTAGTGCACAATAAACACAGGTACCATTAGATAGAACTTGAAGAATTTGAGACTCACCCAACAAAATATATTAAATCAACAACAACAAGAATTGTCTACGGGTGGTACCAGGTCTCAAACTCAGGACCTCACACATGACAGGCAAGTGGTCTACTGCTGGGCTATATCCTGGTTCCAATATTTTTATTTAAAAAATTCAAACTTTAGGGCCAGGGTGATATTTCAGCAGTAATGGTATTTGCCTTGCACACCAGCCAACCTGGGTTAGATCCCCAGCACCACATATGTTTTCTTGAGCCTCACCAGGAGTTATCTTTGAGCACAGACTTAGGAGTGATCTCAAAGCACAGTCCCCGTAACAAACCAAAAAAAAAAAAAATCAAACTTTATTTATTTAGTTATTTAGTTTTGTATGGAACTACTAAGTTCTTTTGAAGGAAAGTGGCATATCTTGACTTTATTAGTATGAACTTTACGTTGTGGACAATCATAATTTAAAGGGCTGAAGTGATAACACAGCAGGTAGGGCATTTGCCTTGCACGCAGCCGACGTGGGTTCAATTCCTCCATCTCTCTCAGAGAGCCCGGCAAGCTACCGAGAGTATCCTGCCCACATGGCAGAGACTGGCAAGCTCCCCCGTGGTGTATTCCATATGCCAAAAAACAGTAACAACAAGTCTCACAATGGAGATGTTACTGGTGCCCACTTGAGTAAATCAATGAACAATGGGAGGACAGTGTTACAGTTTTACAAGGTACATAATTTAAAAAATACACAGTTTTCTAGGAAATAATGATCAAGGTTGTACTAATTTCTGAACCACCGGTACTGAAACAGAGCTGTATTTATTCAACTAAATGTCAGGTTTAAGAATATTTCTAAAAATAAAAACTTGCTTAATTTTCTTGCTAAACATGAAAGTTTGGGGTATTCAATATTTGGTAACTTGTAAGTGCTACCCTCACAAAGCAAATGTAGAGCTAAAAATAGCTGTCAAGATATTAAGGGGGGTCAAAAATAATTGTATTCAGGTATTTTCATTTGTAATATTTTATCTGTAATGTTAATCAAGAAAAGGAGATATCAACAAGTCAGTTTTCATCAACAGGTAAAAAGGTGAGAGGTGAGCAATACACCAAACTTTTAAAATATTCCATTTGTCATAATACTTACTCTTTTGTGTCCCTCTCAGAGGATATATCCTGAGCTTTTCAATAATGTCAAGTACAATCAGGCACGTCAGAACCAGAGAGACGGGCAGGTCAGGTAATGGAGTTATGGAATCATTGCTATTGCTACTCGTGCCATTTTTCTTAATCTGTTTTCAGAAAGAAAAAGTAAAATTTAGAAGCATTACATTTTTGTGCTTTCTTGATTCCAATTAATTTTGATAGTCTGAAAGCAGCACTTAATGAATTAGAAACTAAAGGCAAGAACCTGACTTTCAAAATTTCACAAGGCTTTGAACTATGTCTGAAGCTGTAATAACGGTCTGTATCAATAGCAAGATTTTTGGTTAAAGAGAAAGTTTGGTAAATGTGAACAGAAATATAATCTGGGCTGCCAGAAATGGTGTGATCAGCATTTTGCTTCCAACCCTATTCAAGGGTCAGAGTGTTTTAGTTCAAAGAACAAGCATTGGCATTTACAGTCTTCTGAGATGTATGAGTCCAGGTAAACCCAGTTGAGTAATTAATGTATCTATAAAACATCTCTGGCTTGAATTACCTAAAAGATGACATGATAAGAATTTTCCCTCTGAGATTAAGATTAAGACAAAATGCCTTCGTGATTATTCTACTCAATATGGCACTGGAGGTGCCAGTGTCATAAGAGAAAAATAAACAGACCAGGCAGGTAGAAAATGGGCTGGAGTGCATGGTTTCACGTAAGGCTGGAGTGCATGCTTTCATGTAAGACCTGGTGGTCTGCACAACTGCTCCTTTGAACAATACCAGGAGCAAAGCCCATGAGCACTTAGCCAGAAGCAGCCCTGTGAGTACTACCAACCCAACCATGGTCCAAACAACAAAACAAACATAATAGAAAAAAAAAGAAGTAATATCAACATAAATAAGAAAAATATCACGATAGACTGTGTGAAAACCTACTCCCCTCATCAAAAGTGGAGAGTCTATTTCTACATGCCAGTTGCAGTGATTTAGACAACAAGATAAATTGTATTTGAAGGATAACTTTTGGGGAGCCGAGACATAAGTGAACAAATCACATGCTTCCATGCTTCCACGTGCATGCAGGAAGACTGTGTTGGATTCTAGGCACCATGTGGTCCCTCAGCCCAGTCAAGTTTCTTCTAGCCCTGAACACTGGGCTAGAAGCTCCTAAGCACTAGAGCAGGAATGTCTCCAAGCCACCTTCCTACCAAAAAAATAAAAATAAAAGTGGAAAACAAATAAATGCAACTTTGATCAAGAATTTAACTTTTGGTAGGAAAAGGCAAGCTGATTTTTAAACTGTATAGGAATCTATCTAAAGGACAAGAAGAAAAAGAACAAGAAAGGAAGAGTAACTCTTCCTGATATAAAGAACTATTACCAGCCTGTAAGAATTGGGAAAGCATGGTGTTGGCCCAGAGACACACAGGTAGACAACTGGATATAACAGAAAGGCCAGAAACGGCAGAAAGATAACTGCCTGGTTTATAATAAAGGGGTTGGGTGCTACGGAGAAATGTGAGAACTGGTTTAAGGAAATGGTGTGCAGCTCTTTAAAGAAGTAATAAAGCTTGATTTCTTATTGTACAGCATATACAAAAATCAGTTCCAGAGGGTCTAGGAATGTAAAAGAGAAGAATAACATAATATGGGCTCCAAATTATCATCCCCACCTCGATTCAATTCCCAGTGTAGTTTACGGTGCTCTGAGCATTGCCACGAGTGGCCCCTGAGGACAGAGCCAGAGGAGTCCCTAAGCTCAGCTGGGTGTGGCCCTAAAGCAAAAATAAGCAAATAGAAAATACCACTGAAGGAAGCAAGAACTGGTTCAGTGGGCTAAGTGGGAGAAATGAGTCCCAAACCCAACACTACATAGACCCCTGAGCACTGGGTCTGACCCCAAATAAAATATCATCCGTTATGAAGATTAAGTCTGTCACAATCAACAAAGGTCTTGACGTATAAATTTATAAATAACTTCAAAGTTTTAATTAAATGCCACCCAATTGAAAAGATGAGCAAGAAAAAGAATGCTCTTCAACTGGGGAACATAAAGTAACAAAATAGGAGACTAACACCCAAGAATAGTTGAGATAAGCACCAGGAAGATTATTCCATGGCTTTGAGGATAGCCACACTCACTAGGGGAAAAGGCAGCTCAGATAGAGAAGGGAGCACCAAATAAAAGGTGTTGGGAGGTTCCTCTCAGGATGGGAAATGCATGATGAGAGTAGACTATAGTCCGAACAAGATTGCCACTCAATGTCTCTTTTGCAAACCAAAACACTCAAAAGGAGAGAGATAACAAAAGGGAATACCCTGCCACAGTGTTAGGGTGGGATGGGGGGAAGGGGGGTGGGAGGGATACTGGGACTGGTGGTGGTGGAGAATGGGCACGGGTGGAGGGATGGGTATTCGATCATTGTATAACTGAAACCCAAGCACAAAAATTTGTAAGTCTACAACTGTACCTCATGGTGTTTCACTAATAAAAATTTAAGGAAAAAATGCTCAATTTCATCAATTTTTGAAGAAATGCAACTTAAAATGATAATGAGATTGAGAGTATGCCCACGAGCCTGGCTCCGATGGACTCACAACACCTGGGTGAACAGTACCAGGACTGCCTGTCCTCTGCTAGTTGAAGTAGACACTGGCAACTCTCATAGAGAAACTGGAATTCTCTGTTTCAGCAGCATCATGCTGACATCTTTTTTTTTTTTAATTTTTTTTTAATTAGTGAAACACCATGAGGTACAGTTGTAGATTTACAATTTTTTGTGCTTGGGTTTGATTATACAATGATCAGATACCCATCCCTCCACCAGTGCCCATTTTCCACCACCATGGATAATATCCCCCCCACCTCCATCCCCCCATCCCCCCATCCCCCCTGCCTCTGTGGCAGGGCAATCCCCTGTGTTCTCTCTCTCCTTTTGGGTGTTGTGGTCTGCAAAAAAGGCATTGAGTGGCAAACATGTTCAGTCCATAGTCCACTTTCGACATGCATCTCCCCTCCTGGGAGGATCCTCCAAACACCCTTTATTTGGTGTTCCCTTCTCTATCTGAGCTGCCCTTTCCTCTAGAATGCCCGACTGGCCACTAAGCTATGGAGTAATCCTCCTGGTGCTGATCTCAGCTATTCTTGGGTATTAATCTCATATTTTGTTACTTTATATCCCCCAGATGAATGCAATCTTTCTATGTCTATCCCTCTCTTTCTGACTCATTTCGCTTAGCATGATACTTTCCATGTTGTACCACTTGTATGTAAATTTCATGACTTCATCTTTTCTAAGAGCTACATAGTACTCCATTGTGTAGATGTACCAAAGTTTCTTTAACCAGTCATCTGTTCTTGGGCATTCAGGTTTCTTCCAGTTTCTGGCTATTGTAAAGAGTGCTGCAATGAACAAACAAGTGCAGATGTCACTTCGACTATACATTTTTGCCTCTCTGGGATATATTCCCAGGAGTGGTATTGCTGGGTCAAATGGGAGCTCAATTTCTAATTTTTTGAGAATCGTCCATTCTGTTTTCCAGAAGGACTGAACCAGTGGACATTCCCACCAACAGTGAAGGAGTGTCCCTTTCTCGCCACATCCGCGCCAGCATCGGTTGCTTTTGTTCTTTTGAATGTGGGCCAGTCTCTGAGGTGTGAGATGGTATCTCATTGTGGTTTTGATCTGCATCTCCCTGATGATTAATGATGTAGAGCATTTTCTCATGTGCTTTTTTCATGCTGACATCTTAATGCCCGTCTATTCCCCACACACATTAGCTTTGTATATCTTCCAATTGGTGTGTTTCACTTAGGTTAAAAATGAGGGATGGGGGAAGAGGGATAGGAGTGGGAGTTCAATAAGTTGAGTGCATGCTTTGTATGCGGAAGACCCAGGTTTAAAACCCAATACTGCAGGGTCCCCTGCAGCACTACTACTGCTGCTAGTACTACTAGCAGCAGCCTCCAACAACAGCCAGGGGTTGTCCGGAAACAAAAATTAAATGAGGGGGGAAGTGCAACAATTGTTGAGATATAATGGGGGGGGAAATCTAAATTATCTCTCTAACCACAGGCACTCCCCTATCCCCTATTCTGTGATAAATGTGTCTTGAGCAGTTGCAAAATGAGGGTTCAAGGGCCTAGCTCAGTCCTTGTCTCACATGCAGGAGTCTTGGTTTTAATCCCCAGCACTGCCCTCCCCCTATCCTATGCCCCAAAAGAAAAAAGGAAAAAAAAGTTATAAATTTTTGATAGAGCTCCACTTTTATTTTAATTTAAGTATTAATATGAAGATTTCTAGGCCTTAGGAGTTATAAGATGAGTTCTTTAAACGCTAAGAATCTCCTGTAGGTACTTTCTAATGTTTGTTAGGGAGGAGAGATAAGATAATCTGGGTTAAAGTATTAATTTATTGCAATGTGATACAAAGTACAACTGACCTTCCATGATGCTTCTATAAATTCCTGGGTGTCCCAACATGGTATTTGGACATTTTCTAGCTAGCATGTCATTTTTAGAAGTAGCACACAGTTCAGTGTTCTCCTCTCAGGCACTTAGCATACCTTCTTTGAGTGCCTATTTTTTCTCTCTAATAAATACTGCACTGTAGCACTGTTGTTCACCGATTTACTCAAGCAGATCCAGTAACATCTCCATTGTGAGACTTGTTACTGTGTTTGGCATATCGAATACGTCATGGGTAGCTTGCCAGGATTTGCTGTGCCGGCAAGATACTCTCGGTAGCTTGCGAGGCTCTCCTAGAGGGTTGGAGGAATTGAACTCAGGTCGGCCCGGTCGGCTGCGTACAAGGCAAACACCCTGCCTGCTGTGCTATTGCTCCAGTCCTCTAATAAATAATTAGTGAATAAATAATTAATGGAGACCAAAGACCATTTAGAATTAGATTTTCTGAGTTCTCTGTTCTTGGCTATTTTTACACAATGCCTGACCTTGGCTATCCATTTAATGAACTTCAACTCAATCTAGATGTAAAATATCACACAGTGATTTAAGTCATGAACTTTGGGGAAGTGAAAATTGTATTTTTCACAGTACCCTGCCATCTAATGTTTTGTATGAATTGGGTATTGCTTTTTGAACTATTTGGTTACAAGAATCCAATCTTCCACATGAAAATTTTGTCTGTGTCTTATACATGTCCATCCACAAGAGTTTGTCTGAAGTTATATTTATGGAATCATCAACTCAAAGTAATTTCCAAATGACTACAATATGCAAATTATTTGTTAGTGGATATATTATCAAGGATCTCAGAATTGGAAAAGCTATGTCCTTGAATATTTTCTAATTCCATTTAAAACTGATGAAGCTTATAAAAACTGTCAGCTTGGAAGAAAACAATGTGGATATCCTTTTGAATTCTTTGCTTTTGGGGGTGGAGGAAAGCAATCCTGTCTCACACATATAAAAACACAGAAGCATTTCTTAAATTGGCAGCTAGCTCTTTCTTGATTAAAAGAGCTAACAATGAGCTTAAGTATTGTATCTGTAAATACATATCTATATATATATCATAATATGGAGAAAGAATAAATCAAATAAACCATAGGAAATGTGTTGAGCATATCACCCTATTGAATTCTAGGAATAGAGGAGCATTTAAAAATGGACACACTTTGCAGCAAAAGGAAATCAAAATTGCCTACCTCTGTCGTTGCTACAGAGAAGCTGAAGCTGGGTAGGGTGGTAAGTATCACACTCATCATCATAACAGGTCTCCTAGCAAACGAGAAAAAAATAAGCAAAAGCAGTAATATACAAGATCAACAGTTCCTGTTCCATTTTGCTAAATTTGCAGTTCCGGTTCCATTCATCTATCCTTTTTTTTTTCTAGGAAGCTACTGCTTCCCTATTTCCATTTCCCAAATGTTTGAGTATGGCAAAGGGGAACATGTGCAAAAATCAAAACGCTTTTGTAGAACAAATGGATAAGATAGCTTCAAATACTGATCAAAACATCAACAACTAACATACATGGCAGCCTTCACAGTTACCAGAATCCTGCTCAGAACTTTGAGTGCTTGACACCCACTGAAAAATAAAGAACGCATGATTTTCTTGCATTATATTACAACTTGAGTAGTGAGAACCGAGTTTAAAGACTACACTTAGATATATCACATGATTAAATATTTTAAAATGACATAAATAAGCATCTGGATAATTTTTACTTGAACCCCCCCCCCAAATATTGTATGAAAGTTCACATACATTTCCAACCCAGTTTTATTTCTCTTCTTTCTTTCTTTCTTTCTTTCTTTCTTTCTTTCTTTCTTTCTTTCTTTCTTTCTTTCTATTGAATCACCTATATGATATACACAGTTACAAAGCTGTTCATGGTTGGGTTTCTGTCGTACAGTGTTCCAACAGCCATCCCTCCACCAGTATATATTTCCCACAACCAATGTCCTCAGTTTTCCTCCCACGACCCTCCCCCCAGCCTATCTCTATGGTAGACACTTTCTGTCTCCTTCTTCCTACCACTTCCTCCTTCTCCCTCTCTTTTCCTCTCTCTCCCTCTCTCCTTTTGGGCATTATGATTTACAATTCAGATACTGATGAGAGGTTATCACGTTTGTTTCTTTCCCTACTTTCAGGACACAGTCCTTATTCAGAGAGTTATCATTTCCAACCATCTTTGTTGTAGTGATCCCTTCTCTATCCCAACTGCTTTCTCCTCCAGCACTTGAGGCAGGTTTCCATCTATGGACCTTGTTTCTACTGGCCCTTGTTTCTTTTTTTTTATCATTTTTTTTATTAGTGAAACACTATGGAGTACACTTATAGACTTATAAATTTTTGTGCTTGGGTTTCAGTTATACAATGATCAAGTACTCATCCCTCCACCAGTGCCCATCCTCCCCCACCACGGGTCCTAGCATCCCTCCCACCCCCCATCCCCGCCCCCATCCCACCCTGCCGCTGTGGCATGGCATTCCCCCCTGTTCTCTCTCTCTCTTCTTTTGGGTACTGTGTTTTGCCAGAGAGGCATTGAGTGGCAATCATGTTTGGTCTATAGACTACTTTTAGCATGTCTCTCCCACCCTGGGAGGGTCTTCACAACACCCTTTATTTGGTGCTCTCTTCTCTATTTGAGCTTCCTTCTCACCTAGCACATGTGGCTGGCCTTCAAGTCATGGAGCAAAATTCCTGGTACTAATCTGAGCCCTTCCTGGGTGTTAGTCTCCCGTTTTGTTGCTTTATGTTCCCCAGATGAATGCAATCTTTCTGTGTCTATCCCGCTCTTTCTGACTCATTTCGCTTAACATGATACTTTCCATGTAGTACCACTTGTATGTAAATTTCATAACTTCATCTTTTCTAACAGCTACATAGTACTCCATTGTGTAAATGTACCAAAGTTTCTTTAACCAGTCATCTGTTCTCGGAACTGGCCCTTGTTTCTACTGTGCTTGGTCAATCCAGTTTTCGAACACCTTCTATTTTTTTTTTTTAGTTTTCACTGGGTATATAGTTTATTTTTGGCGATATATATTGTTTGAATAATTTTGTGCATGACTTTTGATTTTTTTTTTAATTTTTCTTTTTTTATTAGTGAAACACCATGAGGTACAGTTGTAGATTTACAATTTTTTGTGCTTGGGTTTGATTATACAATGATCAGATACCCATCCCTCCACCAGTGCCCATTTTCCACCACCATGGATAATATCCCCCCCACCCCCATCCCCCCCTGCCTCTGTGGCAGGGCAATCCCCTGTGATTCGAACACCTTCTTAATTCTAACACAGAACAATCATCCCAATCATTGTTGACATGTACATAAAATGATATTAATTAAATAGTACTGTAACACTGTCCTCCCATTGTTCATTGATTTTCTCAAGCGGGCACCAGTAACATCTCCATTAGTGAGACTTGTTACTGTTTTTGGCATATCGAATATGCCACAGGTGGCTTGTCAGGCTCTGCCATGGGGGCAGGATACTCTTGGCAGCTTGCTGGGCTCTCCAAGAGGGACGGAGGAATGAAACCCGGGTTGGCCACATTCAAGGCAAATGCCCTACCTGCTGTGCTATTGCTCCAGCCTAATTAAACAGGTACTTCATAATTCATTTATTGGATGTTAATTAAATATATACTTCTTTATTCATTTATAGGAAGACAAAATATACTTAAATATTTTTCTATACTGAAATATGCATCATCTTTTTCCTGTTATAGGCATTATAGTAATTCAATTTCTATGGTCAAGTGTTTCTAGGCACAAAGTGTACTGGAGTTTTTTCAGTAACTAAGAATTTATTCTCTGTTCTGCAATGCCTCCCTCTATCCCAGGTAAGGACCTAAATCAGGTGAGTTAGAGTCCCTCTCTTATAACTAGACCCAGAACAACAGGCTAAATGCAGAGGGGCAATGGGATTTTCCATTGGTTATCTTGCCTCCTTGACTGAATCCACATCTAGTTCCTGCTAAACTCAAGCATTCATTCATAGTCTCCTCTGATAGACCAGCCTGTCTCAAGGATATTCTGAACCCTCTGCTTTAACCGTATTATCTTCCTGGTAGGTGTCCATGAAACCATGGCTTTAAATACAACCCATGGCACACGACTCCCAAATATCCAGGGGTGTGTGGGGAGGTGGAGAGAGAGAAAGGGGGGGCGAGAGGGGGGAGAGAGAGAGGGAGAAAATGAGGGGAAGAGAGAGAGAGAGGGAGAGATTGAGGGAGAGAGAGGGAGAGAGAGGGAGAGAGAAGGAGGGGGGAAGGGAGGGAGAGAGAGAGAGCCAACACATGCATTTCCTCTTTCATGAGTGTCTATGCACGTGCATTTCCTCTTTAATGAGTTCTGAGTTTGTGAGTTCAAGGATCTATCTGCCATGTCCACGGGGATACCACAGCAAGAAGAGCAAGGGTGTGGCTCTGTGAATCCTATCAACCATCAGCAGAAAGGCTGTGACCTTGGACAGGAGGGGTGGATGACCAAGCAATAAATTAAGGCTGTCAGGCCTCTGGGAATCCAGGAGCAGGAAATGGGTGGATAAAGCTATTAGGCTCCAAGTGTGAATGACCCTTCTAGAAAAGGGAAGAATGAGCCAACATGCTCCAGAGACCAGGGAGGATGCCAGTCCACAGAGGGCCCAAATGTTCCCCAACCAGAGGGAAGGCAGGCAGTCACTTGCACCGGGGATGTTGAGCCCAGGACAAATTCCAGGACAAATTCCAGCTTTGCGCATGATTCTCCAGCCCTTGAGAAATTTTCTCTGCTGGATTTTAGGCTTGCTGGAACCCAGAAGTCCTTTTCTCCTTTGAGTTGCTCCTGGTTGAACAGACACATCAGTCCTATGCCATCCTCCTCGTTGCATTGTGTCATAAAATAATGTGTTCACTGGTGGTACACATCAATAGAGAAGATGAAACATATCTCCACTATCACCCACCAGCGATTCTTATCCCAGGCCATTTTCATGGTTTAGAGGACAAGTTTGGGCACTTAGGCTGCATGATTTAAGAGAAACTTGGAATTTGACTCGCCTCTGGAATGGTAAAGACTTTTGGAAGGTTGACCCGGCATGAATCTCTTTTGCACGTAGAAGCATATGGATGGTGGACTGGGAGACCACAGAATGGCTACTGTCAAGAACTGATGCGTGTTCCCCCCGAGACATGTAGAGACCCCAACTACTGTCCCTCAGGAGGGGACTTTATTTGAAAATTGTGTCTTTCCAAATACAACAAATCCAAGCGAGATACAAGGAGCACCCTACCCCAACAGAACTGATGTCCTTTTTTTAAGGGGGTGGGATTTGCAGAGGTGAACTGAAACTTATGTTGTAGAGCACAAGTCCAGCCGGACAAGGTTCTGGGTTCAATACCCACCCAGGCCCAGCTGGTTCCAGCACACTAGACCTGACCCCCACAGCAATAGGAATTGGATAGGGATTTGGAGCAGATGTACACACTACAGGATGAAAGCGGGACTCAGATGGAGCAGATATAAGTGAGGGGGTGCCAAGAAGTGTCTCTCCCTCCAAGCCAGGAGAAATACCTCAGCAGCTGCCACCACTGAGACTCAGAGGAAGCATCCCAGTCTCTATGGTGACCTCAAATTACCTTCCAGAACTACAAGGCTTTAAAGTTCTGCTGATGAGCAACAGAACTCATGCTAAGAACAGAGACTTCTTTTAAGCTACATTCATGCTGGATATAATTGCAAGAGGGTGAGCACAGTACAGGACTGGGAAGGACTTGTGAACCTGGTACTGATTCCCATGTAAGGGTGGAGTTGAAGTCCTATACTTAAGAGCATAGTCCACATACATTGTATCTTGACTATCGAGAGCTTGGCTCAGGAAGAAAGACCTGAACTTATAGCCAGGGTGAGTTTCAGGTTTCCAAGGGTGCAACACAAATTCTGGCCCTAGAGCTGGAGAGATAGTCCAGTGAGTAACACACTTGCCTTGCATGAAACCAACCCTGGTTTGCTATGTGGCACCACAAATGGTCCTGATTCCCATCAAGAGTGAACCCAGAAATAAGCCTTGAGCATAGTCAGATGTGGCCCCCAAACAAACAAAAGAGTAAGCTACTGAGTTCAGGTTGGAAAAATTAAATATTTAATTCATCCCCCAGTTATCTAAAAATTGCTGTGAAGAGCAAGTACAGTGGTCCTCAGATAACATTAGTTTATTGGACTTCTTTTGGCTACAAAATTTGCAAGAAAAATATCCTGGCCAATATCGAATAAAGTAACATTA